CCCGGTGCGGCCCCGTTCCCGAGCAGTTGCCGCCCTCGCCTCGCCCCCTCAGCGCCCTGGGCCACGCCAGCTGCCAGCCCCGTGAGGGCCGCGTCACGGTCCGGGGCGGCTCCGCCAGGCACAGAGCACCCGCCTCCCAGCGGGTTACTTGGTACCTTGTCCCTTCCAGGGACAGGCCGTGGAGAGGTGCAACATGCACCGCCACTGAACCGCCACCGCAACTAAAAAACACCCACATGGGCTAAATTCTCTGAGCACGTTCACCAATAGAGACGACTGTTCTAGAAAACAGGGACTGAGGACATTGTGCTGGGAGAACAAGCGTTCGGCTTCTTGCATCCAACTTCTTTCCTGCTCAGGAATGAAACTTCCTAAAGCATGAAACGATGCCAAGTCACATCCCCTTCACAGATACCAGAACTGCAAATTGTCAAAGGAGTTATGGCTCAGGCACGTATGTGGTCTCCTTGATTAGGATTCCAACAAGAGGAAGAGGAACATACCACTAATTTTTTTTTCCTTTAGCATACAACACAAAATGCTACACAAAATGAACAGGATTAAAAAAAAAAAGCCCACAAACTCGCACAGCCCTACATACGCTTCCCTACGCCCCAGGTCTTACGATCCTGACTCACTCTGTGCCTATCAAGCCTGTTGCATTTCTTTACCATGCCATGTGATCTTCCAATCGGTCCCTCCTTCGTTGCTCCTAGCAGAAACATCTTGTCACCCTAATGAAAAGCTGATCAACATCATCTTCTTCACTATTAGTTTGCCATTTTCTGCATGGCTTGCACATGCTACAATTGCATCAGTAATATCACAGCTACTTCTCACAAATAAGCAAACAAATCCACACACCGAGAACTAAGCAGGCACAAGAACTCTAAAACACTGCCTATATTTGAATTCCTGACATTCATCTTTTTCTGCAAGCAGAGCATTATCTCAATTAGCAGCAGCTTGTTGAAGATACGTGGTCAGCAGCCAAATTTCCTAGAGACAATTCAGCTTCTACACACCGTTCTAGTCACTAAAAACTTCTGCGGATCTCAGACCTAAGAGTCGATGTGTTTTCTCCCTCCTGCTCACCCAGTCTTCAGTGTAGACTGTGTAGTTTGCTTTTAAATTACAAGAAATGTGTAGAAATTTGCATTGTCCTCCCCGTCTATGTAATTAAAGGTAACAATCCTGAAGGATTCCTGGGTTCATAATGCAATTATGAGTTCTAGCAAGCTCACTTGCTGATGAAGCTTTCCTGACAAGCCATGAAGTCCACACATCTTTAGGAGCAAAACAAGGAATCAGCAAAGATCTCCTTAGTAAAAACACCACACCTGACCAAACACGCTGCCGGGGAGGCCACATCGCTGTGACTCCCTTGCACACACATTTTTCACTCCTCACCCACGTCTCTGCTGCTGCTTTTAGCCACCTCTTCCACTATTGTGGCAGTAGCTGTGCACACGCTGTAGCTTGCGTGACGCTGCGATGACTGGGCTCTGATACAAGTTCTCCGTAAGGCTGCAAACAAGGAAGTTGCAGCACACGTCTGCTCCATGCTAGGCAGCAAATGCTGTATCCAAGGATAAAGAAACTCTGCCAAGCAAGTGGAAAAATAAGAAGAGCTAGCTAAGGGAGCAACAAGCTCCCTGTGGAATTCAAGACAACTTCAAATACTGATGTCAGTTACTACAGGGATGGAAGAGAAGGCAGAAACTACCCAAGAGCACTGTTGTCGTAGGCTGAAAGCACCACACAGCTATTATGTTTCTTTAAATTATAAAGCTACGAATGCAATTAAGGAAACTGTTTAAATCTTTCACTTTTGTTCAGAAATTTATGATCTGCCCTATCTCTATTAGTTTTCTCAAATGACAGACTTCCACTCTATTGTCAAGCTCAACAACAAGAAAAGGCACTGGGAATAACTGCATTATAAATGCCACGCAATAAAGAGTTAAAGAAAAGTGAAGAAGCTTTGTGAAGAAGTCAACACTTTCTCATGTGAGAGAACAGGTAGTAAGAAAGTGGAAGGACACAGTGTAAGCCTTTCTACTCTTCGCCTAGCTTTTATTAAATAGTACATACAAACTTCTTTTGTGCTTCCAGTAGATAACACGTTTTTCCCCTATTTGTCTCAAAAAAACCCCAAACAAGACTTAAAAGAAAACCCAACCAAACAAAAAAAAACCCAATTAAATGGCAAGTTTTTTGTAACTTTATTTCACAAAATTTCCCCTCCCCAAAAAAGACACGGAGGTAACGTTTGTTCCATCTGTATCAAGCATAGCAAATTAGAAGTCAGTGTTTTCTAGTTAAAGGTTCTATCTGTGGCCTAAAGGGGATGGCAGAAGAGCTCCAGCAACTCGTGCAGAAGCAGACCGAGGTGTCACAGCCACAGCTTTTCTCCTCTGCCCATCCGCTGAGGGTTTGCTGCCCCATGGCACAGCCAGCAGAAGATACTATGCACTTGTGCCTCACATACTCTACTGCAAAGTGCCATGTTTCAGCATAAATCGCTGACAAAGATGAACAGAGCTAGGCTATCAGACTCCACAGTGGAATGAAGTACAGGCACATTTTCACTTCTGCTGATGTAGCTACAAGTGAAGAACCAGAAAAGCTGACTCCCTCCACCATCCCAGCAGCAGCCACATCAGCTCCCTTGCAGTCCAGCTGTGCTGCTGCTTGCCTGGTAGTTATCAGTTGTAAAGGTTATGAACCCCAATTAGAGCTTTTGTCGTACAGCCCACAGTGGGTTTCCATGTGAAAGTTATTGCAAGTGAAGCCTCTACAGCCAAGCATGGAATAAAAACAGAACACTGTCCAAAAGCTCGCTCTCATTTCGAAAGGAGAAAAGAAAAGAAATTATATAGAATAGAAATCTGCAACTTTGAAACACAGTGATCTCAGAGTACCTCTTGGCCACAGGGACCAACTGAGATGGGAAAGCCCATCATCAGATCACTTACTTGGGAGGCAACTCTAAACAGACACTGGGAACAGCACTATCCCAGCACGGTGCACTCCCATCAAAGCCTCTTTCAAGTAACGTAAGCAGCGCTTGCACCCTTTAGAAAGCAATGCCATCTTCTTGTGGTAAAGTGCTGATTTCGCAATGGGAGGTGTTACCTGTGCAGGGAGAAGAGTTCTGCTGAAATGTCTAGTTACTATCTGCTTAACATGAGTCATCAAGCACTTGTGGAGCACTGCAGGAGTAGGTTTGGTGAGGTTTGGTTTTGTTTCTTTTTTTTTTTCTTTCTTTTTAAATTAAATCATGCAACACATGGAAGGTAGGGGCAAATAATTTTCCCAGGCATCCACCACATTGCCGGCAATGAGATGTGCCACAACAGCAAGTGTTAGCTCTATATAGCTGGTACCTATAGGTCAATGGCATTTAAAATAGAAAATCTTTCTTACACAGTGTTATGAATAAAATTGCACTTGATTTTGTTAAAAACCTCATATCATTGTAACTTTTCCAAATATTTCCCTTCTGGCATCTTAATTTTCTTCATTAACAGGAGCTTCCCCTAAAAATCTCTCATTCATGTTGGACACATGACATACAACAGGAGTAAGCCAGAATCGACCAGAAAATGGGTCTGTTGTTTCTTCCGTGCTCATGTTCCCACCCTCGCCCCAAAAAGGTACAGGCAGTTCGCCTCTAAGTGTCAATTGTAACATTGAAATATAAACTCCTCAAGCAGACATTAGGAATTTTAGTTTCACAGATTAAATATTTGAAAAGTTACAGAAGGTGCTGGAATAGTACACATTTAAATTGCTTAAAAATCCAAACTTGCAGCAACTTTGTAAATTCAAATTTCCAAAAGGTTTATAATGTCCTTGTGAACTTCTTCCACAGCAAGGCGCCCTCGTGACAATAAAGCATCGAACTTCCAAGACTGAGATCAAGAAACAAATCAGCAGGATGCACTTGCTCCACCAAGCAACTTTAAAAGAGGCGTCTCCACTTCCAGTAGCAAAAAGCTACTCCTTCATTCCATTTTGGACCTTTCAAAGTGTGTAATCATTCTTTCCTGGAAAATAAAATACCCAGTGTTGTCATTTTCCCCAATAGGTTTACATTATTCAGAAATAAGGTGGTATGCTTTGCACAATCACAACAAATACAAGCTTCCTATGCATTTTAAGCCAGGAGTCCAACGTACACAGCAGAAATACACCTTCTTTTAGAATACACGTTTGTTGGTTGCCCCCATCATCCTTTCCCCCTGCATTGGGTTTACTGTGAGGGGTTTTTGGTTGTTTTTGGTAACAGGGGAAGGGCTATGGAGATGGCCCTTTAAGAAGCTACCTGAAAAGCTCCCCCTCTGTCTTTGTCAGACCCACCTCTGACCAGGGCCAAGCCAATCAGTGGCCCTGTGAATTCATGGATTTAAGGGGCAGTGCAGGGCATGCTCTCTCTTTCACTGGCTCCAATCAGTGTGGCCCCAGGTGCAGGTGGCATGGCCCAGGCCCTGCCTGGCCTGGCTGGGCCGGCCTGACCCCAACTTAAGCTTAAGCCCCGCTGCAGCTCCAGCCCAAAAAGAGAGAGCGAGCCAGGAACTCTTCTGAATCATCAGAAGAGACCTGCAGTGGAAAAAGCAGTGGGGCCCAGGGAGAACAACTTTGAAGAACACCAAGGTTTATTGAAGAAAAGAAAGGAGAAGGGGGAGGAGGACGCAGAGCCCAGGTGCCCCTTTTGCAACCCGTGGTGAGAGCCAGCTCAACTGGCCTGCAGCCCACAGAGGTCACTGGTGGGGCAGGGCCACCTGAGCAGTGGTTGCCCTTGAAGAAGCCGTGACTCTGGGCAGTGTGTGCTGGAGCAGTTTGTGTGTGAGGGAACTGTGACCGTGGGCAGACCCAGATTGGAGTTCTGTGGACTTGGGCTGAAGCACTTCTGTGCATGAGGGAAACTGCAGCTGTGGGCACACCCATATTGGACTTTTGAGGACTCTCTCTCCTATGGAAAGGGAGTCATGTGGAAGCAGAGAGAGAGACTGGGCCGAGCCCTCCCTACCCCTGAGGAGCAGTGGCACAAACGGACTGCAACCCCCCCTGCCATCCCCCTGCACCTCAAGGCAAAAGAAAGGGGGAGGTGAAGAATCTGGGAACAAAAGCTGAGCCCGGGAAGAAGGGAGGGGTGGGGGGAAGGTGTTTTGACTTTAAGATCTGGTTGTATCTCCCGTTGTTCTACTCCGATGTTAGTAACAAAATTGTTTTGTTTTTAATCCTTATGAGTCTGTCTTTGCCCGTGACCTTTCAAGTGGTGAGAAGCCCTCCCAGTCCTTATTTTGACCAGCCCCTTTTTTGGGGTATCGTGGTGCTCAGTTATGCACTGGGCCTAAACCACGACACCCCCCCCTTGTAGTATTTTACTGCTGCACTGGGAAGATCAGAGAGTCCAGTTCTAATTAGCCAAGTGCTTAACAACTGACTCATGACTCCTTTGGCATGTCAGAAGATTAATTTGAACTGAAGATCTGTTTACTGACCTCATCTGAATCCAGAAGAGCTGGAAGAGCACTGCAGGGGGGAGGAGAAAAAAAAAAGTTAGAATTAGAGCACCCACTGAAAGCATATTACTGACAACCATTTTCAGCCTTATGTTTCACCTCAAGCTTTGTAGGATACAGGAGAGCAAAACTGAAAATAGGCCTTTCAGTTAAACAGATATAAATCAGAAAAAGACACAGAAGAGGAAGAGCCCAAGAGTCCTCAGTGACCTTCAGAGTTTTAAAATTCTCTAAGCTTCTCATTACCAACTGAACAATTTCCAAGTTGCCATGAAATAAGCTGCATCATTCATACAGAACACTACTGAACTACACTGAAGACATTTACAATATGGGAGCATGTTGTAAAAACACATCCCAGAAATTAAAACAAGCTACACTGGTAACAAAGCCGTTTCAGCTACAACGCACCTTCTATGTAACTGTTGGGATTTCACCTCTTCACAACCCTGACCACCCTTTCAAGATTAGAAAGCCCTGCAGCAAACTACATTAAAGAGCCCTTTCCTGGCTTATTCAAGTCTAGACCTTATTTTATGAAGAATGGTAGGATTCCTTAAGAAAACAAGTACTAGAACTGTAAAAAACAAATTCAATAGAGAAATCAAACTTTTTCATCCTCTCAAAGACAAGAAATTGGGCGAAGCATCAACTTCAAGCAGAGTTTTGTACTTAAACGTGGAGTCTCTGTCAAAACTACAAGTTCAGATTTGTGAACATAATTAAGCTGTGAACTTCTGTTCTGCTGTGAAAAATTTAGATAGACATTTTTAGGATGTACAATGTATTAAAAGCAGAATAGATATGGACTGCTTACATAGCTGACGATATTGCCAGAAGCATAAAAATACCTCAGACTTATTCCAAATAAAGTTGAGAACTAAATGACATTATTCAGTGGTTTACATGTGGCAAAATACTCAAAGGACTTTTTAGAGCACTAAACAGAAAGTTTAGTTTTGTTCTTTGTTTTCTGGATTGATTTATTTAGTTTTCACCTCAGTGAAGTGCAAACAAAGCAGTCTGTGGTTTCACAGTCCAAGAAGGTGTTCCTTAATTCAGCGTGTGTTCAAGTGGCACGAGCTGTAAGCCTGACAGACTGTAGGAAGCCAAGTGGAAGCAGGCTAAGAAGGTAGGGGCCAGTTCCAGGCTGAACTCAGTATCTGCCCGTGTAAGCGCAGCACACAAGTTATAAGGCATTATAATGTATTTGTGTTCCTGTGTCCAAGGAACCTGCTTTTATTGTGACTACAAAAAATACTCACACGTCTGTCACCGATGAAGGAACGTTCTCCTCTACCCACTTCAGGTCATCCTCCTGCTACAAGTACAGAAATTATATGGAAAACAAAAGTCAGTTTTCGCAAAATGCTATCACATCAGCCTACTTGAAAAAAAACCAATGTCTTTATAAAGTCAGTTAAAAAAAACAAAACAAAAACCCCAATCAAATTTAAAAAAAAAAATCCCTCTTCAACTTGATTTTGGAATTACAGAAAGCACATCCCAAGGAAAAAAAAAAAAATCAAACAAAAACCAAACCCCACCTCTACCTTGCTGTCAACTCTGTACTATTCTAATGGTGACTAGGAAAAACAGGCCCTCAGGGCACTTATTTACATAATCCAGTTTAGTCTCCCATAGAAGAACATTATCTTCAGAAGATGTTACAGAAGAAAAAACATTATCAAATGCACAAGAAGATTTTGCAAAGGTATGTTAAAATGTACTGTCAGGATTTCTCAGTTCTGTCTGACAAACACACTCTAATTCACAAAACAAGCACACTCATCCCCCCATCATCACCAAAATAGAAAAGTTTGATTTTCATGTTATCCTCAGATAAGCAATGTACAGTTGCAAACAATGTTTGAGAAAAACAACGTTACTGACAAAAATATTACTGCTATAGTCGTTCCTACAGGCTCTTTATGTTTTTAAATTTATGCATGAATGCCATTAAAAGATTCTGAGGCACATTTTCTACCTCCTAGCTGAATGTGAAACCACCACTGCTTATAAGCCATGTGGAAAAAAACTGCAGATAGGTTGAAAATGTTCTACCCAAACTATTTAGGTACCTACATAATAATATACACATCACCCCATTCAAGCACTGAATCACAAATCTCAAAATTAGAAGGCAACTAATTTATTTTAAATATGGCTCAACCTCCCTCTCAGCCTGACAAACTTGTTAAAATAATCCATTATCATAACGTAGTATTACACAGTCCTATCTGTACCGGACTGTGCAAACACTCTTCAAGAACAGACTGAATTCTAATTCTTCCACTGCAATTACAGGAAATCAGATTTTCAGAAGTACTGTAGATGGACAACACTTTGACTCACTCCTGCTCCGAAGTGAACCAGGAAACTCGTATCTGTAGGCTGAGCACTTTGCATATCTGAGAGCTACTACTGGGAGCAGCCAAACAAAAGAGGAGGATCTATATTCTTCAAGGTAGGGAGGGCATACTCACAGCTTTGTTTGCCTTTACATTCCCATTTGGTTCTTGCTTTGTACTTCGCATTTTCATTCCCTCTGAAGACAAAACAAGGAAAAAAGATTGAGATAACTGAACTATAATAGTTCATAAACTAAGTGAAAGTGTCAAGTGTTCATTCAGAGTATTTATCAAATCCAAAGAGACAGAAAGACAGACAAGTTAACAATTAAGACAGTGCTTTCCCTTTGAAAGGGTTGTAGAATTTTTCCTGACAGGTGGACTACCTAATTTTTCCTCAATTTTGCAATTTTACCTAAGAAATATCAATCTCTAGTCCTTTTCTTTAAGCCAGACATAAGTAGCATAGGACTTGAAGACACAGCTGCCCAGAGAGGCTGTGGAATCTGCATCCTTGGAAGTAACTCAAAAGCCATCTAGACATAATCCTAGGCAACCTGTTCTACATGACCCTGCTTGAGCAGGGGGTTTAGACAGCATGATCTCCAGAGGTGTCTTCCAACCTCAACCATTCTCACACCTATGCGACTCCCAAAATTTATTTACCTACTGGCTGACCAGCCACTTGATTGACTCAAAAGCTGTGAGGTAACATGCATCTCCCAGCAATGCAATTTGGCAATGCACCTAAGGGATTACACAGTCCTCCTCAGCTCCCAAACAACTCAAACAGCACTGATATATCCCAGCAAAATTGATTTGTGGATAGACAACAGCAGCAGATGTGTCACCCTACAACTTCTAAACAATAGTGTTACATGGAGAATAGACACAGTAGGGAGATAGGAGGTAGGGAAGAGAGGGTTTTTACAGTAGGAGAGGGGTGAGTGGAGAGAAAGATGCAACCCAGTGTTATAAAGCACAACTCATTCATGAAATTACATATGAATGAAAATGTAAACATATTCATCCATATGTTTGCACTGGAAACTCCTATACTAGGCCCTAATATGGAAAATGAAGAAGACTGCAGAGTTCAGAGAACAGATAATAAATGGAAATCTTTAAACTGGATTTTAAAAGAGAACTGCAAACTAAACCACTGCCTAGCAACAATATCCAAGAGATCCTTGCCATCATGACAGGATCCAAACCCATGACTTGACATATTTAATAAAACACAGTCCAGTGGACAGGGCAAAGCAACCACAACAGTAGCAGTGTGTTTAGCATCATCTGAAAACCCCAGAATTAAACAGGCAATGCAAAGACTAAACATAAAGCCAATGTCTCCTCTAAAACTGCCTAAGTCAGTGGCAACAATGAGGCATTGACTCTGCTTTTACAGCAGTAACGAAATTTTTGCTAGAGAACAAGAGACTTCCCTCCAAAAAAGGGTCTCTTCAACACTGAAATTAGATTGGAAAAGTTTTTTTCCTCTTACCAAAGCTTTCCTTTAGCATTGGCTCTTTCTGCTCATCATCATCCTCCTCTTCAGACAGTGGTGAGAAAGCAAACCTTTATGAGGGAAAGAAGGAAAGCTCTTACAATAATAACTCTTGCCACCCAGAAGATTCATTACCTCAACATTCCCATGACTTGATTATTCTGTGCAGTTCATGGTTTTTAAGACCTATGCCAAACTACATCATCAAAAGTTTAAGTAACTTCTTTTTAAATGAGTTCACCACCAGGAACAGATTTTAACTGTGCGACCTCCTACACTTACTTTCCTCAAGTCCCTACACACACTGCTTAGTATCCTTATAGATCAGTATACAGCAGCTAAAATCACCCACCAGTACTTCTTTGGATAAAGAAGCATTCCCAAAACACAGTAGTTTTAGAAAGAGGTAAGAAAGGCTCAACCTTTGGTTGTTAGCAGATGGTCTCCACAGAATCATGATGACAAAAAGGATCATTGAAAACAATAAACGCCAGATGGCATCATCCACCCACAGCTCCTGCCAGTCCTGTCAAGGGAAATAGCACCACAAGTAGAAAAAGTTGTGAAGAAAGTTTCCATGGCTTTAGCTCTTTCCCAGGGTGAACTACAGGCATCTGGCAAAGAGGCTCGTTACCCACAACGGTGAGAATTTTAGCATGTGATATATTACTCCAGACATAATCCACAGAAAAATCTGCTCCAGAATGCCCAATCTCACCTCTTACACTGCCAAATGTACATTTATCAAGAGGCAGAAGGCACTGAATACAAACTCACCGACTGACAGTCCACCAGCCTGAACTTCATGGTGGTCCAGATGATAAATACAATAGATGCTGCAATATTAAAATAAATAAATAAGCTGCTTGTTACTACAAAATATGCTAATCCAAATAGACTACTAACAGGACTGTGTTTCCCAAGCAAAGGGCAAAGACCTAAATAATGAATACTTGGAATCCAATTAATCTGTTTTGAAAAACCATGAAATTGATTTAATGCACTGATCTTACAGAGTATAGACCAGTATATTTTGCTCTTGGTTCTTCAGAGACACAAGACATAAATCAAGTATGAAGTATTTAGCCAACTCCTCACCCCTATTCACTATTCTTAAATTATTTTCATCTAGCCTCCAAACCATTGTTTCATTCTCAGTTGGCAAATAAAGCCTACCTTGAAGTAACTGAACCATCTGATCAGCTCGAGTGCCTAAACATTCAAATCTTGACCCATAAGAGCTGCAATGCTCAAACTATGCTCTCACCACAGTTTAAGATGAGACCTCCCTCCACTAAGGTGCTGTATGATTACTAACAGCCAGATGCTGAAAGGAATTTAATCAGAGCTGTCAATTAAAAGAACTGTGCTTTTTCATTTGTTTGCTTAAATTAAAAAAGCACAGTCCTTAGTTTTCTGCTCATTGTATGGATAGCATTTCCAAACAGATGAGGAGCTGAGCACCCAGAAACACCAACAGATTTATTCTTGAAGTTCGGTTCATTACTACTACAAATGGAAAGAGAAACTGAACACGTCTTCTTCCAGAAGAGAAGGCCTTATGTCACAATACAGAGTACTGTTTTTTCCAAGAATCACTCTGGTCTTCAGACACCTTAAAAATTCCGTAGTACACAGCAACACTGTGATTTTGGCAAAAACTACCTCTGTGATGTTAACAGCATAGGATAACAATCTTTTGTCCCTGGCAGCTTTAAGAGGGACGAAAGTGCTCTGTTAGAGGAACTGCACAGAACTTCTAATATCCTTGATATAGACCCACTATTAAAAAAATGGGTGTTAGAAATACCAAGTACTTTGACTGCATTTACAGGAAGGTCATCAAATGCAAAAATCTGCTTTAGTGATCAAATCACGTTCTATATGGAAATGGCAAGTGCTCTTACTTGATTAATGTAATTTTCTGCTTACCTGCCACTGCCAAGATGAGCGTGTTGGTGAAGTGCCGATACAAAGAGAGCTTCACAACATTCCTTCGAAGTTTCAGCAGTTTCATTGTTTGAGTTAAGCTGATGAATATGTATGGAAAGTCAAGGAAAGCCTCTGAAAGGGACTAGCTGGTCACAGACTTAGGAGGACACAGATCTTATGATCAACAGCTCTCCCACGCCCACACTTAGCCCTCCAAAAAGGTTGACCAGACTCAGTACAGGAGAAGTTCATCCCATGTCAAAGGCGCCAAAGAGCAGGATCCATCCCTTTCATGTTAGTTAGTCATCTGAATCTAGAACTCGTCACACAAAGATGGTATCCAAGCATCTATTTTGGACTAAGCCTGGTTCCTCAAGAAAAGCATCAGATGTACTTCTGATAAATGGAAAACCAAGTCTGAACTAGAAGTGAGTTAAAATCCAATTAGATGGTGCATACACGTATCTTCACCCTATTGCCTACGATTTTATTTCCATAGCAACAAATTAAGTGCTTAGATGAGACATCATGGTAGTAGAGAATTGGGGTTGCCATGGCTAGGCAGCAAGATATTCACATTTTAAACACTTTTGTGATTGACTTGCATTAAAAACACTTTGTAACAATTTTCCTAAACATGCCTTTGAGTTCAGCACTTGACAGCAGTGGCTAAAGTCACAGGACATTCTGGTTGTTTGAATGCAATACATCAAGACACCAAAAAGTTAACACTGCCCTACTTTGTCACCGAACTACTTCAAGATGAGTTCAAATTTTACAGAAAGAATTTTAAATTTGATGTTGCTAAGAAAGCTTCTCCCCAAAACATAAACTGAGTCTGTTCTCCAAAGGCGGCTACTATGGTGCTGTTACAGTACTACACTAGAATAAATTATTTTCATGCTTCAACAATCAGAGGCTGATAACAGACTTAGTTACTCTCCGTAACTCCGTAGGAGTTGCTCTACCGCAGATACCTGCTGGTTACCTAGTTTTCCTTGCACTGGCTGTAGCAGCAGCTTACCTGAACACTGAAATTACAGAGGTTCTATTAACTTCACCAGAAGTAGAAAGAACATGTACTCAAAGCTGATTTTAAAAGAAAGTTCAGCCAAAAAGACACCCCAAAAAAAACTGAAAGAAAACACACCCCGCGAAGTAAAATAGTGAAGGATATCCACCAGCACAGGGCAGTATCTAGGAAAGCCAGGGGAATAAAAGCCAAGGAGGCAAGATCATTCTGGGCCTGGAGACAAAGAGAGAGCCAATAAGAACAAACTGAAAAAGGAAACAAGGTACAGAAGAAGTGAGGAGGGTCAGGCTATTCTATGAGAAACCACAAATACTCCACCACAATGCTTTTAAGTTTAACTACAGAAGCAAAGGGTTTGAACTAAGAGTTTAGCCCAATGCACAGAGGAGAACTTGACAGTATCATGTTTTCAGTTCTTCACCTGCAAGGCAAGCACCATTAAAAGGAGCCTCTGCCGAGGCAACTGCTGCGATGCTGTGCTCTACACTTCCATTACAGAAAAACAGCAATCAGCTTGTTAGAGATGCAGTAATTAAATCTTTTCCACTATCCATGGACCAACTGAATACTCCACTGAGTAACAACCATGAGTTTGACTGAAAGTGGCTAAAACTGCCTTTGTGTGTACATCGAAAATTATCTGTTTCAGCTGAAAGCAGCAAATCACCTCCTACTCTTATTGCAAATTACCTCTTATTCTTTTTAAATATTAGGCAGAAATAGTAAGTTGTGAATAAGCTCGTAGCACTCTGCAGTTTATGAAAGGATATCCACAAAATAATACAGGCATCAATCATGGACAGGGCCAAGTTTGCTATCAGAGCCACAGTGCCATAGAAAAACTGAAAAAGTACCAAATATATGACAAGTTAAATACCTTATCCCAAACCAGCAAAAACAGAACAACAGAAATTTACATCCTGAGATGCACTTCTTAATGAATCAAAACAGCAGCACCGCTCACTTACACTTCCTCAGGTACAGCCTCCAAAATTGGAGTGGTGCTTTGTTTTGCTTTGTGGGGGTTTTTTTGGTGTATGTTTGTGGGTTTTTTGGAGGTTTTTTTTCTTTTCATTTGGTTTTGTTTTTAAGACTCATGGCCAGGTGACCAAGCTGTACATTTGTGTCTGCAACTAGCCCTATCTAATCAGAAGTATTAAACTCAAGGGTCCAGGCAGAATATAGTGTCTGAAACCTGACTAATCAGAACACTGTTAGAATTATTTCAAAATACACATAATTACATCCTGATAAATAGAGAAAATGTAAAACTTAAAATAATTGTTACTAATCCATATCCACAGTCTCAGATTTTAACCACTTTATAGTCTCTGTTCCATTCTTTCAGCACAGCCCTGGGATTCTCCCCTAGTATATAAGCAAATAAAGCCAGTAGCATCTGCAGCATACAGGAAAATTCAAGCAGTTATTACTGACCCCTGTGACTCTGAGAACACCTTCCATGCCAGAAAACAACAGATAAAGGGCTCCAGCCATAACTACTTTATGAAGAGTGACTCCAAGGCGAGGCCTGTTGGAAAACAAAGTGAAATTTAGATTAAGCAGAGGGGGGGGATTTGAAGTCAAATCACCTTGAGACTAACGTAAAGCATGAAGCATGTGAATAAAATGTCCTTGTGAAAAGTCACTTCTAGATCCAAAATAATTTTATTATGGTGCTCGAAGCTTTTTCATTTTGTCTTATGGTACGAAATGACTAAGGAAGAGATTGGTATCAGTCCTGTTTCCTAGTTAACCTGTTTAGCTTTTTACAGATATTTCAAGAAGTCTCAGCCCACCTCTTCACCAGTTTCCCCAGCATACCCACACACTTTCTAGAAGCTTCCACTACCACACAGCATGTTGTTTTACCACTGAATGCAGCTGGGGACAGACAGATGAGCAGCAATCTTGGCAACAGAAGCCTCCTAAAGCAGAACCCACCCCCACCAGTGATTCCTGACCTCCCCCATTTCTAGAAGCTCCTCCTTGCACAGAAGGCAGGCATATAAAGCTCCCATTCCAGTCAGTGTATCTCAACAGTGGCTTGGAAACCTACCAACAGTAGTACACAGAAGGGGATGGGAAGAAGACTAATCACCATATGGAATTGTATGTCTCCATTGAGCAGTGCAGAAGTCTAGACCTTTACAGCACTTAACCAAAGCACCTACCTTTTAAGCAGCAAAGTACAGGGAGATGAATACACCCCTAAGTTATTAAAAACCAGCAGTGAAAAGCCTTTTAACAGAACACAACAAACCTATAAGAGAATTACTCACTTGACTATCCCATATCCCAGGCTGACTATGATGACCAGAGTTCGAGCCAATGAGCGCTTCACTGCAGAAAGCAGTTCTGCCAGTATCACTGCTCCTTGAACTACCGAAAGCAGAGGAGAAAGCTTGGTTATTAAACTATAATTTCTGTTTTATTAACTGTTGCTTTTTAGTATGAAAGCAGACAATTATTTTCAGTAATTAGCCCACTAAAGTGTATAATGTTTTTATTACCTAAAATCTGGATTAAGTTTTCAGAAAACTTAAGGTCACATCATAAAAAAAAAAAAAAAGCTACTGAAAAATTTTACATCCACAGAAAGTGCAGAATAAATGATCCATAAAACACTTATCCTTAAGATCAGCCTGGATGATCTTCCAAACAAGTGAACCAACAAAGCTTTCTGTACCACAGGTGTACCCAATGAACAAAGTCATAATGAAATGTCACTTGCAGAGTTTTATTTGTACGTATCCCTCCTAAGAACTCAAAACCAGAGTCCCAAAGTTTTATATGGAGAAAAGCACTTAAGACGGAATTTCAGGCTATGGGTTGAATACCAGAAGTCATATGCAATGCTGTCATGTTGAACAAGGAATTTCAAAATCTCTTTCCAAGGCCAACATTTATTGTAAGAAATTAATTACAAGCTACACTTAGGAAGTCCTATTTTAAACTTCAAGCCAGCACTACAGTGAATACTTTCCAGAATCTGGCATTTTACATCCCTAAGACACTACATTCAGAAGTCAGAAAAAGTAAGAGCATTTCAGCTTTAGAAGAGCACAGATCATCATATTTACAATGCATCATTAATGCTGAAACTCTGGTTCCTTGTTCTTTGTTTGGAAATAATCCTCAAGTAATCATATGCATCTGTCACCCCAACTCAGCACAAGCCATTAGTGTCAACAGTTAAACTGCAAGCTGCAGTTTCTCCCTACCAGATTCTCCTGTGTAGCGGATATTCTGGAACTCTGCATAGAAAACGGCTTTCTCGAGCATTCCCAGGAAGATAACAGCACCAATCCAGAACTGGATCCTCAGGAGATCTCGCCAGTAACAGGCCGACCACGCAAGCCATAGAACCCCGAAGAACACGTACACAATACACATCACCATGAAAAACTATTACACAAAAAGAAGCAAGAAAGAGGAATCTTAGACCCAGATAAAACAGTTCCTTGTTCCCATTCCACAGCTGTAAGACATCTCCATTTCCTCCCTGAGTACAGCAACTTTCAAAGTCTTCATATACAAAAGTGACTATAAACAAGCATTGCTCCATTTGTCTTTTCTGGATTCTTTTTACAGTGGCAGTCTAATTTCTCACTGCCAACAAAGGGAATCCAAGAAACTGAATTTCTGAGCCACTTCTCTCTTGAAAAGCAGTCTGCCAATTTATTCACAGGTATTTTTCTATGGGAGATATCAAGTGCTACTAGCTTTCAAAAACTCAGGGAAGAGCTCAGGGAAATTATCAAGCACTAGAAACTCTGCCCCTTCTCACATATTATTCTGTTACTAACTTCACTGTACATTTACAGTACTCTACAAGTAAGCTTACAAGTCACCTTCACACACCGTTCCACAGAACAAAGATAAGCAACCGATGGTTGTAACCTCTCTGGTAAAATTAATTTGGCAACTTCTCTTAAAAGTTAATTTCCAGCAAACTCAAGTTTTTGGCCAAGCTTTAGGTCAGCCAAAAATCTGGCATTGAAAAAGGACACCGAGATTAAGAAGAGGAATAAAAAGGACTAAGACATTAAATGAATAGCAAGAAGTACTTTGCTTAATTATTACTGTCCTACACTTTGGCTGTCTCCTCTTGCAGAAGGTAGATTTCTTTTAAAACCAAGCAATTGAAGTTAGCCGCACGATCCACTGAAGCTTTCACAAACTGAAAACACCTTTCTTAGAAGAACAGCTTACTGATCCTTGCAGATTTTCGTGTCTGACTAATCCACGCAGTTCAAATGGCAAGGACCTAGGCATGCCAGTTCACATTCAGATGCTCCATTACAGAAACATTTGGACACAGACCTTTTTCTAGACCCGCCACATGGGGATATTGACACTAGGGAATTGGATGTCAACAGAGCTGCTAGAGGCTTTTTACTTCTGTCAGGCTCTCTTATTTACAGGCCACTTTTGCCAATACGGTCAGGCTCAAGACCTTACTTGTTACTGATACCCAGCTGAAGTCTGTCTACATGACATCAATATTGAAGTTCTTTTATTTTCTTAGACTTCTAGACAGAGGCAACTAGCAAGAACTCCTTTGACTAAAAAAGGGATTAGCTCTGTATAGTTCAGTTATGCTTTCACTGTTAGCAGTATTAAGAACCTCCTCATGGGGTGTAAGACAGCTGGCAGAGGAAGGATTAAGCTGTAAATGAACAAAGAAAGCAGTGACAAATAAAGGGCAGCTGTAAAAAGCACAGAATAGCAAGATTTTCCAACATACTAGGTAAGAAGAAAAACAGTCAGTAAAACTGCTTAGTTTGGAGCTAATGATACTTATAAATTCTGTAACGAGAAATTGTCAGGCATCAAGTCAAACAATCCAGAGAAGGACAAAATCAGCGACACATGTAAATGTCTGTCTTCCCTACCTTGAATTTATTAAAAAAAAAAACCCACCACAAAAAAAACCCCAACACAATCCAAGAGAAAAAGCCCAAACCAAAAAAACATCCTCTGCTAAATTATTTTTTCAGAGACATTTGCTTTATGTTTCCTAAAGTATGGAAGAAGAGTATTTCACTGATATCCAAATCAACTAACAGCTTTACAGGTCAAAGAAAAGCCAGTTTACTTACAATCATCAGAGGATAGTCTGCAAGTGAGAGATACTCATATGGCCCCTTCAGTTCTACTGTCACTGTCAAAAGACAATGAAATAACAAAATTGGAAAAGAACCAGAAGGAGGAAGCCAGGATAAAGTACTTGACTGATTTTCACTCAAGCATAAAGAAATTCCAAATCTCCACATAGCTTTCAAATTTAACTTGTACTTTAATCAAAGAAAGTTAAGATTCATAACACACCCAGCTAAAAGCATGCAATTAAGATTACATGCTCCATTAGCAAGTAAATCATGGCAGCATTTAAAATAAAACTAATCTGTGCTGGAGATTCATGTGTAACAGGAAAGTTCAGAAACACACACAAGTTAACTTTTTAAGGCAATTTTCCAACTTCTTTAAAGTTTGGATAGGTTATCAATATACTGTTAGGTATAGTATAATACAATTTCAAGATGACAATTATGACCTTTGTATCCTACATGATCTGAGCTTTATTAATATAGATCACTGTGTTGGTCTGGACACTTCTGAAACACAACACCAAGCCTCCAAATTGAACTGCTTGGGATTCTTCCTTGGTTCCATCATTTCACTGAGAGACCAACAGCCTTAGGACCTTCAAGACACTAATAATCACCTGTTTACTTATGGTAAGAAACAGTTGTAGTATGTAGTACTTACATCTATATGAAGTGAAAGGGAGTGTCTTATGAAAATGAACCATACAGTATATATTAAAGTATCTTAGCACACACTTAGACTGGTATACCTAAAAAAAAATGATACTATATTCTTAGTTTTCTATATAAACAGTTAACTTACTTGTAAAGGGCTTATTCTGATATGAGGAAGGTGTTGTTTTCTCAGCTCTTTTAACTCTGGTAGTAGAATTCTTTGCAGTTGTAATTCCAATTTGCACAATAAATATATATGGCCCATCTCGCCAAGTTTTGATAACAGCATTCATTGCCTGAAAATGAAATAATGCATAGTTAAGAAGACACAAGACAGAAGTAGACTCACCATACATGGGTGGTATCTCCCATGTAAAAAGAAAGTTCATCTCTTCACAGGCCTAAAACTAGTTAATAAATATTTGATAGATAAAACTTGGAAATCTAATACTGGCTTACTGGAAGAATCATCTCAATGGTACTGAAAATGCTATGAAGAATTCAGCAAAGCATCCTATTCCTTGTTTTCAATCTAGAAACATTAGGACTGCCACAGAGATACTACTTTCCTCCTGAAATCAATTGTTTGGCAACAGCACAGCTACATATAACTCAACTCCCTGGTGAAGCCTGTATTTTCTAGCGTAAGATAGAAGAGGTAGCTGAGAACGAGAAAATTTCCATAGTCACTTCCTGTGGAAACTACTACTGTCCCACAACAGCTCTCATACCTGTAAGACTCAAACCCCACAAATGAACTAGCAGAGGAAGCTTGTCCAGATAAATATTTGCACCACAAAACAAATCAGAGATTTCTTTGAGTTCCAGCATACACAACTGTTAATGCCACAACTGAAGAAGTTCTAGCCATCTCAGAAACCACAATATTTACCAAGAGCTTTAAGGTTAAACCTAAGACTATCTACACACACGCCACTGACACGAACACTGCGGAACTACCACAAAGGCCTTTTTTATAATGGACTCTTCAAGAGTATTTCAGTATTAAGAGCATGCGTTTCTTTTAAGAAACCTCCTGACTACAAGACCTAAAGCCAAAAGAATTTATGAATGAAAAAAGGGTTTATGCTGGTATTGACTGAAATTAAAAGACCTTGTTGAAAACACAGTAAACTTAAAAGAACATGGATGTATTTTTCATACATAATTTTGCCTTTAAAATATCTCCATCTCTTGGTGCGTCGATTCCTTATTTCAAAATTGCACACGCAGCTATTTGTGCTTTAGCTTTGAGCTAAATCACTCTGTAAGTACACAGGGAATTAAATACTACTACTATGTTGGCATTCAGGACATTCACTTTGAAGTTATAATGATCATAGTTCCTGGTTAAGGCTTGAACATAACATATATTTATTACTATATATAATATATATATATA